TCCTTATCTCTCTGTAACTCTGCCTTTCAAATAAAGTTTTTAAAAATAAAAATTGTTAGAGGTACTAGTTGGAGATATTCTGTATTTACTTCATCTCGACTCTTGAAACTTAAAAAACAAGTCTGTTTAGTAATGAAGAGAACTTACCTAGAAAGACATGGTCAGGGCCTGCACTACTTAGGAAGCATCTATAGAAGATGTGATGATTCTATGCCCTTCAACATCCCTTAGGATTAAGGGAATGGAGTCTCTGAGGGGGGAATGATGTAGGCAGGCATATAGGATAAAATTGATCAGTTTTGTGAGCTGGAAGACCATGCCTTCATCACGACCCCTGTGTGATCTCATCCCATTACCTGACCACACCTGTGCACCCACCTGCCAATCCAACTAATTAGCCACTCCCCTTTGGGAGTCGATTAAAGGCCTGAAACACAGTGGGCCCAGCCTCTTTTCCCCTTTTCACCTTTTGCCCTTTGCCCTTCTTCTTCTTCCTCACTGCCCTAAATCCCCTTGCTCCCCCGTGCCTTCAGGGCACATGGCCTTTTGGCCACCTGCCCCACATGCTCCTCCACGTGGCTGGTTCCTGATGCTCAGAATGAACCCGGATTTCCCTCTCTTTTAGATAGAGCACTTACTCTCCTATGCATTTCTCTCACTTAATAAAAAGCTTAAAACTTAAAAAAAAAAAAACAGACAGACATGATCATTGGCCATCCAGAGATCTCCAAAAACTTCTGAAAGATGAGTGAGTAGACAGAACACTGACAGCTTCAGCAGAACATAACATGCCAGGAGGAAACTGCAAGTGAGAAGAACCCTGACCTGCCCCCTGGAACCCTAGGAGAGAGATACTAGGTAGGCTGAGACACCTGAGGAAATGTTTGATGGTACAGAAGGGGTGAGAGTGGTGGGTAAGAACACAGATTAACTGAAGATCTGAATATAGAAAAACAACAATAAAATACTCCACTTTCTTCATTTGCCCGTAGCAAATACAAGCATCCTAGTGGTTACCACCACCAAAAAAATAATAATAAAGGAGAATCCACTCCCCCCACCCCATTTTGTAGCAAAGATGGCCAACTGTCAACTAAAATTCATACATTTCCATAGTATAGAGTCCTTGGAGAGGATGTGGGGAAAAAGGGACACTAACCCACTGTTGGTGGGAATGCAAACTGGTCAAGCCACTATGGAAGTCAGTCTGGAGATTCCTCAGAAACCTGAATATAGCCCTACCGTTCGACCCAGCCATCCCACTTCTTGGAATTTACCCAAAGGAATTTAAATTGGCAAACAAAAAAGCGGTCTGCACCCTAATATTTATCGCAGCATAATTCACAATAGCCAAGACCTGGAACCAACCTAAATGCCCATCAACAGTAGACTGGATAAAGAAATTATGGGACATGTACTCTTTAGAATACTATACCGCAGTAAGAAACAACAAAATCCAGTCATTTGCAACAAAATGGAGGAATCTGGAACACATCATGCTGAGTGAAATAAGCCAGTCCCAACGGGACAAATACCATATGTTCTCCCTGATCAATGACAACACCAAAAAGGAAACCTCCTGAAGTGAAATAGACACTATGAGAAACGGTGACTTGATCAGCATAGCCCTGTTAATGAACAACTTAATACATTATCCCTCTTAGTAGTTTTTTTGTCTGTTCTACTTAATATGACTGGTTTAATTCTGTAATTAATACACAGTTATTCTTAAGTGTTGAAATTTAACTGAAATGTGATCCCTGTTAAACATAAGAGTGGGAATAAGAGAGGGAAGAGATGTACAATTTGGGACATGCTCAAGCTGACTTGCCCCAAATGGTAGAGTTAGAAACATACCAGGGGACTCCAATTTAATCCCATCAAGGTGGCATGTACCAATGCCATCTCACTAGTCCAAGTGATCAATTTCAGTTCACAACTGATCATAATGAAAGGACTAAGAGTCAAAGGGAGCACATAAACAAGTCTAGTACCTGCTAATACTAACTGATAGAATAAATAAAGGGGAGAGTGATCCAACATGGGAAGCAAGATACTCAGCAGACTCATAGAATGGCGGATGTCCTAAACAGCACTCTGGCCTCAGAATCAGCCCTAAAGGCATTCGGATCTGGCTGAAAAGCCCATGAGAGTATTTCAGGCATGGAAAGCCAAGACACTCTGGCAAAAAAAAAAAAAAACAACAACTAACTAACTAACTAACTAAATGAAAGATCTCTGTGAGTGAGATCCCAGTGGAAAGAACAGGTCTTCAAAGAAGGAGGTACCTTTCTCTGAAGGGAGGAGAGAACCTCCACTTTGACTATGACCTTGTCTAAACAAGATAAGAGTCGGAGAACTCAAGGGGTTTCCATAGCCTTGGCAACTCATGACAAGAGCCTAGGGAGATTACTGATGCCATAAACAGGAGTGTCAATTTGTTGAATCTTGATGTGAATGGAAGGGGAGAGGGAGTGGGAAAGGGGAGGGTTGTGGGTGGGAGGGACGGTATGGGGGGGGGAAGCCATTGTAACCCATGAGTCGTACTTTGGAAATTTATATTCATTAAATAAAAGATAAAAAAAAAAGGAGTGTCAATTTGTAAAGTCAACAACAGGAGTCACTGTGCACTTACTCCTCATGTAGGATCTCTGTCCTTAATGTGCTGTACATTGAGGCTTAATGCTATAACGAGTACTCAAACAGTATATTTCACTTTGTGTTTCTATGGGGGTGCAAACTGTTGAAATCCTTACTTAATGTATACTAAACTGATCTTCTGTAAAAAAAAAAAAAAAAGAAATTATCAATTCCTAACTTGACTCTCACTGGGATTAAACATGACAATAGGTCTGATCTGATTTCATCATCATTTAAAAAATCATCTATTATTTTTCACTTTATGTTTCTGTGTGGGAGCAAACTGTTGAAATCTTTACTTAATGTATGCTAAACTGATCTTCTGTATATAAAGAGAATTAAAAATGAATCCTCATGTGAATGGAAGGGGAGAGGGAGTGGGAAAGGGGAGGGTTGTGGGTGGGAGGGACGTTATGGGGGGGAAGCCATTGTAATCCATAAGCTGTACTTTGGAAATTTATATTCATTAAATAAAGGTTAAAAAAAAGAGAGAGAGAAAAATGTGACTGATTAGCCAAAACTTCCATATCCCAGACCCTCTGGCATACAGGTGGGACCATATGTCTAGTTTTAGACAGCAGAATGTAAGTAGAAGTAATGTGTCATTTCTTTGCCAAAATAATTAAGGGTCTTCTCCATTCTCTCTTCGTTTTCCTCTGTCAGGAGACAGAGAATCACAAGGCATTTTAAGAATAACAAAATCAGAACAAGAAATTCATGCCATTAAATCATCATATGAAGGAAAGCTATAGCTGATAAGAACGCTTTCATTGGACTATTATAGGAATTTTAAAAACCTATTTCATTAAGTCACTGAAATGTTTAGGGTTACTTTTTACTGAAACTAGCATTCTGATTAATAAGGGAGGGAAGGGAAAAGGTCACTAGGAAAAAAAAAAAATTAATTTTACACCATGGTTTTAGTGACCCAGAGGTAAGCCTTGCTTTGTAGCACCTGAAACACAGAACGGGACAGTCAGTTCTCGATCCACAAACACACAGTAAAGGGAACACTTATGTTATATTACATACACATGTTAAAATGAAAAATGAGGTAGAATGGGAGGAATATGAGTAATTATGACCAAGAGATCCAATGTGGTAAGTTGAATTACTCCTATCATCTGTAGCCAGTAGCAATCAGATTATTGCCCAATACAACTTCATTAGTTATACATTCTGTCTTCCAGTATTATCAAATATTTTGTTACTACATAACATAGTTCACCAGTTTTTCCAGCATCTGTAGCAGTTTTTTTGTTGGCCATCACCCAGTCCCAAAGCTAATACCGTGTATTTTAGGTTTCTGTTAGACCAACATTCCACTTTTAGGTACACATTTTTATACTAGGCAACTTTTTCTACATACCAACCAACCATAAAGTTTCAGTAGAATATTAAAAAAACATATTTCTAACTTAGAAATAAATTATTTAAGTCAACTGGGGCAGCTCTGCTTCAGGCTATATAGGTCAAGCTGAAGTCTGTTCCTTATTTCTGCTCCTGGGAGATGCCTGGGCAACATTTTGCTTACACAAAAGTCGGGAGCCTCAGAAAGGTAAGTGGAAATGTTCAGTGCTTCTTAAGGCTCAGGCTCAAAACTGTCACTTCTTCTCACTTTCCTTTCACAAAAAAAAGACACAGATCAAATACAACATAAATAATCAAGAGAGAAAGTATACTTTTTCCACGTTGCTAAGTGAGGAGAAAAAAGTTAATTGATATAGCATCTCTAGTTCTCAATCTTAAACAACAATTTGTGAGTGGCTTGGTTAAGCTAAGTTCTGAAATCAGCACCAGCAGTACCTAGGCATAAAAGCAATGATCTGATCTTTGTCTAGCACCCAGATCACCAATGTAGTCTTTCACCTCTCTAAAGAAAGAGTCCCTTCAACACTTCATTGTTTTCCTTATAATATGATCCCAGTAGGAATCCCATCCATCGCACAGGGTGGAAAGAAATGAATCAGGCTCCCAGATTCTCCCAGAAGGTCCTGTACCTCTAGATAAATGTATGAATGCATGCAGATAGTTGGGAGTTATGTCATCTTCACCTGCCAACATTGTACAAAACACATACCTAACTCAAGAAAAAAATATTTTTTCAAGAAAATGCTTGAATTTAAGCAATCTTCATGTTTACTGATAACCTTAAGTATCTTTTCATGATAAAGCTAAAATAAAAATCCATGTGGTGGTTATTCTTTTCTGTTATGAAACTGAAAGTGATCCAGGATAATAAAAGTTACAAAGTTACAAAACTTAAGAAATAATGGAGAGAATTCTATAGTAAAGATATATTTAACATCTTAATTACTTAACTGGATAAAACACCAAACTTCAAATTAGAAAAGGAGAAATACAAGAATACAGTTTAATTTCTCTCCCTGAAAAAAATACATTGGCAAGAATTAACATATCTCTATTAAAAGAATCAATCATAACAAATACAGTAAGGAAAACAGAACAAACAATTGACCATCAGCAGGCAGGCATATCAACCCACCAGAGCACATATTCATCTTATAGTCCCTATCCACCACTCGTTGCCTGGGTTTCAAATCCAAATAAGCATGGTGGTTGCTATAGTGACAATATGCCACTTTTGGAACCTGGAGCTTAGTACTACTAGGTTCTAATGAGCTTCACAACGGCAGTACTTCCTCCCACACTGTGAATCATCGTTCAGATTTTATAACTTCACAAAATGTGATTTCCATTTGTCCTTTACATTTTCTTACTCTAGTAGTATATTATGTCAAATATCTAATTCACCTAACATGCTAAGTATATATATAAACATATTATTGATATTAAAGATGTTAGTTTGATAGGAGGCAAATTTTGTGCACTAATGAAATTTAGATTTATTATTGTAACTGATTTACTGATTTATTATTGTAATTGGGCAAGACCATATCTTTTTAAATAACAGCTTAGCTCGTGGTTATTAATAGCAGTGTAACTATCATAAGAAAATTTAAAATACAGAAAGAAAATTACAGATTATATAAAAACAGTTCAAAGATAACACTAAGAATCAGAATTTCATTTTAAGGCAGATTGATATATTTTAGGAACTATTTCTTTAAGAAATATTCCTAACAACTAAAGACTAATAATGGTGTCCAAGGAGAAGGTAACTTGTTGGTAGTAAAAAATATCAGTCCCAAGTCAATCAAAGTGTTTTTCCAGATCATCAAAAAGTCAAATTGGAAAACTTCATATAGTGCTGGTAGGAAGAGAAAACAGTACAACCACTTTGGAAAACTGGGGGCCAGTGCTGTGGATTGACAGGTAAAGTTGCCGCCTGCAATGCTGGCAACCCATAAGGGCGCCAGTTCGAGTCCCAGCTGCTCTACTTCTAGTCCAGCTCTCTGCTATGGCCTGGGAAAGCAGCAGAAGATGGCCCAAATCCTTGGGTCCCTGTACCCACATGGGAGACCCGGAAGAAGCTCCTGGCTCCTGGCTTCGAATTAGCGCAACTCCAGCTGTTGCAGCTAGTTGGAGAGCAAACCAGCGGATGGAAGACCTCTCTCTCTCTCTGCCTTTCCTTTTCTCTCTGTATCACTCTTTCAAATGAATAAATAAAACTTTAAAAAGAAACTTGTCAACTTCTCCAAAAGTTCTACAAAGAATTGTTACATAATCTATCACATTCATGCCTTGTTACTTACCCAAGAGAAATAAAAGACATGCTCACAGACACTTGCACATGCTCATAGCATCATTACTCATAACAGTCCCAAACCAGAAGCACTCTAAATGTCTGCCAACGAGTAATTAGGTAGAAAACAAAACAAAAATCCATTTAATGGAATACTATACATCAAGAAAAAGAAATTAATTACTGAACCACATTCTGCCACAGATGAACTTCAGAAACATACTGAGAAAGGGCATTTAGCCTTGTGGTTGAGATGCTGACATCTCATATCAAAGTGTCTCAGTTTGATGCCTGCCTCCAGCAACTGACTTTAGCTTCCTGCTAGTTCAGAGGAAGAGGTAAGGCCTCAAGCAATTGGGTCCCTGACATTCACATGTGAGATCTGGATTGAGATCCTGGCTCCCAGGTTTAGCCCCTGGCCCAGAGACATTGTGGGCATTTGGGGAGTAAACCAACAGATTGGAGCTCTTTGTCTCTCAAATAATTCTTTTTTCAAAACTTATGCTAAATCAAACCTAGACACAAGAGATCCTGTACTGATTCTGTGTGTATGAAATGTCCACAAAAGGCAAATTTATGGGAACAGAAAGTGCATTAGTTGCTGAGTTGTAGGAAGGTGGGAGTGGGAACTAGCTGCAAATAGGCATGTAAAACTATTTACAATGATGGCTGCACCATCTGATAAAGTTACTAAAAAGTCACTGAACTATGTATTTTAAGTGGGTGAATTTTATGGAAAATAAATCTCCGTAGTGGTTTTTAAAAAGTAAGAGAGCATCAGAGCTGCAGGTATCCTTGCCAAAATTCTGCTTGTAAACATTAAGACCAAAGAGGTTATGCAATTTGTTTAAAGATCACGCAGCTAATTCATGGCAAAACCGAAAAATAATCAAAATCCAGCCTCCCACCCACTCAGGTGTTATTTCTAATACTTTCAAAGGAATTTTAGAAAACTATAATTACATAGAAAGAATTCTCAGAAGTGTTCCAGAAGCATCAAAATTTGAGAATCAGAAACAATCATCAAACCTACAAAAAATTTATGAATACATAATAATATTCAGAAAAGCTAAAAGCTAGAAAAATTTGTCATCCTCTAAAACCATGTAACTTACTAGCAAAGTCAGTAACAAAAGTAAAAGAACTGTAGTATTTTTTTCCAATGTTTGTATTGTTCCTGATTTAAGACAGAAAACTTCTCTGTGGAAGAACACAAACTAATAAATGTAGATGAACTTAAAGAATTAGAAAGGATCATTTTACATCTAGTAAAATGATGACTCAGGCAAGAATTATCAATTACTGCTGAAGTTTTAAATGAATGATTGATGCAGAAGTTGGACGTTTGTAGGAAACTAAGGGTGGGCGGGCCTTGTGGTACAGTGAGTTACGCAGCTACTTTGGACTCCGGCATCCCACATTCAAATCCTAGCTACTTCACACTTGCAATACAGCTCCCTGCCAATGTACCTGGGAGACAGGAGAAGATGGACCAAGTGTTTAAGTTCCTGCCACTCATATGAGAGACCTAGATGGAATTCTTGGCTCCAGGCTTCAGCCTGGCCTAGTCTTTGCTGTTGCAGGCACTTCAGGAAAGATGAAAACTCTGTCCATCCCTCTTCCTCTCCCTGTCACTCTGCCTTTCAAATAAAAAAAAAAAAAAAAAAGCCCTCACAGACCTAAGGAGAAAAAAAAAACCACACAGAACTTTACATGGAGGGAGATTAACCTAATTCAGGACTAATTTTTAAAAAGATGGGTTAGTTCAAGAAGATAGTGTGTCATTTATCCAAAGTAAACCATTCAAAATCACCTATTTTAAAATCTTGTTTAAAATCTTTAACCTATTCAACCGCCCAGCATTGAAGACCACATTTATAAGAAATAGAGGGACTAGAGAAGTAAACTCAACACCAAGAGAAAGGATTAAAATACAATGAGAAAGGCCAGTGCCGAGGCTCACTAGGATAATCCTCCGCTGCGGCACCGGCACCCGGGGTTCTAGTCCCGGTTGGGGCGCCAGGTTCTGTCCCGGTTGCTCCTCTTCCAGTCCAGTTCTCTGCTGTGGCCTGGGAAGGCAGTGGAGGATGGCCCAGGTCCTTGGGCCCTGCACCCGCATGGGAGACCAGGAGGAAGCACCTGGCTCCTGGCTTCAGATCAGCGCAGTGCTGGCCGTAGCAGCCACTTGGGGGGTGAACCAAAAGAAGGAAGACCTTTCTCTCTGTGTGTCTCTCAAACTCTGCCTGTCAAAAAAAAAAAAAAAATACAATGAGATAGCCTACAGGACAAGTTCACCTGTTTACCTTAGAAAATCAAGAGTGTAATAAATAAACAAATTACGGGCAGGTGGAACCATCAAAGATTTATCTAATTTTTTAATTAAAACTAGAACTACATTACCAAATATACGTGTGGTCCTTGGGTTGAATCCTGGTTTGTACAAGGCAGATGTAAATCTAAACATCAAATACTAGACATACTCAAGAAAACTATTGCTTGGTGGATGTCATATGATTTTTGTTATATAGGCATCCATATTACTTTTATAGGGATGCATACTGATGTACCTAAAAGTGGAAGATCCAGATATCCTTGGCTGACTTCCAAATATTTCAATGAGTTTAAGAAACATAAAAAATTAAAACCCAAGTCTCAACTTCCTAACTCACTGCTGTCAGCCCTACTAATTGTGTATGAAATAGATACAAGTGGCTTGCCATGAATGATAGGGTGTGTTTTTTTTAAACAGGTACTAAGCTGAAGCGAACCAAAGAGGTAACAATAGGATATTGTTACTAACCTCCTATGTGCAAGGCACCAAGTGGTACCAAAGAAACACGAACAGAGCTTCGCCCTCCAAGGGCTAAAAATATCTAGAACCGCTTCTTGGTGCTGACCCCAAGTGAATAAGGCTGTTGCAAGACCACAGTTCAAGCTCTGAAGAGGCAGCCTCCCTACAGCAATCTTCAATTGTTGCATAAAACCACTTAAATCCTTCACTGCCCGCCTTGCAGCGCGAGTTAACCATTCCGCAGGCGGTGGTCAAGTTAAGGGACACTGTTTCCAAATCCCCTTTCAAACTGGGGGTGGCAGGCTAAAGGTCATCACCAACCACCTCAGTACTAGGAAAGGAGACTTCTCCAGGGGCCCTGGACCAACAGGTGAGACTCATTGGCCAACTGGTTTTGCTCTCCCCCTCAGTCCAAAGGGTGGCGCTGCCCTCTCTCCTTCCCCACATGCCAGGGTGTGCACGGAAATCAATTTGTAAGGTCCCACCAGGAGCGAGGCTCCCTTGGTGGCTTCGGAGCTACTCCAGGCTACCTCGGCAGCCCGCGCCTCTCCTGCTTGACTTGGGTTAGCCCGAGAATCTGCCCGTTCCCCCTCTGCAGAGGCGCAGAATTCTTAGTCCTGCGGGTAGGCGAGACGGCTGAGAAGGAGCCTGCATACTGGCACTTCAGCTCAGTCCTCGGCCCTCAGTCCACCGACTGAGAAACGCAGACAGAGAAGCTCCACGACTTCTCGCCCGAAGGCCAAGTCGAACCGCTTTTCACCGACCGGGCGCAGGAGTTAACCGATGCACACCCCTGAAGGGGCGCGGACGCCGCGGTCAGGCGGCGGGGAGGGGGTGGGGCCCAGAGTAAGCGCCGCCTGCGCCCCACGCCGCTTCCCGTCTCGCCCAACCGGCGTGCGTGCGTGCGAGCTCGCGTCAGGGATCACGTGCCTCGCCTCCTTCCCTACCAGGAACCCAGAAAGAGCGCCCCTCTTCCGGAAGTCGCGCGCGTCGGCGCCGGGCTCCTCCCACCACGTGCGACGTCAAACCCAGCTCCTACCACTGCTCTGCCTCCGCCTCCAGGTGCGGGGAGGGCTGCCATTTCCTTAGGATAAGCCCTGCCACTTCCGGGCCCCTAAACAGTAGAGGCGAGGGTTTTGAAGTTGCCGAACGTGCAGGCCTCGGAGGCGTGCGGGTAGAGTTTGAGAGGCCGGAGGCTAGCTCTCTGCCGGCCACCCGCGCAGAGGCTTTTCCCCCTCTCCTCAACTTGTGCTCCACTTGGTTCCGCCGAGACCCACGACGGTTCCGCCCCCTTCTTCCTTGTCATTGATGTTGTTGTTCTTGTCAGTGCCGCAGCCCCGACCACCGGGAGCTCGAACCCGAGTCGGGGCCGCTCGGGTGGTGCGGTGGCGGCGGCAGCGGCTGCAGCAGCTGCGGCGGCTGCGGGGGCTGCTCCGAGGACTGCGGGGGCGGCCGGAAGCCGGCAGCCGGCGGCGGGGCCGGATGGCTCTGTGCGGGCAGGCGGCGGGCGCTGCATCTCTGCCTAGCGAGTTGATCGTGCACATCTTCTCGTTCTTGCCCGCGCCCGACCGGCTGCGGGCCTCGGCCTCCTGCTCGCACTGGCGCGAGTGCCTCTTCTACCCGGCACTCTGGCCCCAGCTTCGCATCTGCCTCCGTGTCTCTCCCGCGGAGCAGCCTCGGCTCGAATTCCTCATGCGCAAGTGCGGCTGGTTCGTACGAGAGTTGCGCGTTGAGTTCGCCGCCGAGAACTACCTGAGCGGAGGCGGCGGCCCAGGCGACGGAGGAGGCTCGGACACCGGGACTGGAGGGGAAGACGTCGAGTCCCTGCAGCTCTCCACACGTTGGCTGGAAGTGCTGCGCACCTACTTGGAACTGGTGCTGTGCGTGCTGGTCAGCATCCGGAACAACAGGTAGGCGCCTCCGGGGCCCAGCCCCGCGCCCGCCCCCTCCCCGGCGACGCGAGGTCGCCCGCTCCCCCTGGCCCCGAAATCGATTCCTTCGGTACGCCCCCGCCCCCACCCCCACCCGCCACGGACGGGGTCTGGCAGTTCTCGCCGGGCGGTTTCCTTGAGCAGAGGCCATAACGGGACTTGCCATTGTACTTTATAGACGGTGATGCGCTCGGTGTTCATCAGCCACCACTCCGGGCGCCTCCGAAGCACTGTGTCATTCATTCTCTCGGTGGCCATGGGATGGAACTGACTGGCGTCGTCGTTCATTTTATAGATGGCAGAGTTGAGGCGTGGAGGGGGAGGCCGGTGGGGTGCGCGTCGGGAGAAACAAGACACACCCGTGGTTTTTGACTTTGCACCTGTCCATTAGAAGTAGATGCTTCGTGGTAGCGGGGAGGAGTAGGTGCACATCTGGTGTCCCTTAGGTACAAGACCCTCTAAGAGAAGTCTTTAACGGCCATTTTCTTACCAGGAGTGGTTTTGAATTACTGGGCCAGGCCCAAAGAGTCGGAAGAGTGCTTGTTAAGGGTATCGGGAGAGAGGTTGATTGTCAGGATTGCAAGTCCCTTCCCTTGCGTTTCCGTATTCAGCTTGTCCTCAGTGATTCATTTAAAAGTAACTTGGAAACTTGGGGGACGCGTGAGTTGGCCAGTATCTGCAAAGGGTAAGCACAAAAACTGCCCCGGTTTTGCATCAGAATTCTGTATTTCTGTAGCTAACTCACCATGTTCTGGCTCTTTTACCCTAATTCACGTTTTCCTTCGTGTCTCCATTTCTCCAAAACACTGTCTTAATTTTTATTTATTTGAAAGGCAGAGAGTGAAACGGTGAGCTTCCATTTGCAAAATGCCTGCAACAGCGATGGCTGGGCCAGACCGAAACTAGGAACCAAACTCAATCCCAGTCTCCCAGAAGGGTGGCAGGGACCCAGGTATTTGAGCCGTCACCTGCTGCCCTCCAGGGTGTGCATTAGCAGGAAGCTGGAATTGGAAGCGGAGCCAGGACTCAAACCCAGGCATCCAGATTAGCGATGTGGGCATCTCAAGCAGCTGCGCCAAACACTTGCCCTTCCGAAACCCTAATAGTTTAGATTCTCAGCACCTGAATATTGTACCTACCTTACAATAACACTCTTGAGTTGGGAGAATGTTTGAAACTTCACGAAGGAAACATAACGCATCGTTAGTAGTTTGGGAGCTTACAAGTACTTTCACATTCACTATCCTTTGAGCCTCTCAGTGACCCTGTGAGTCTGGAAGGGCGGTGTTCATTATCCCTGTTTTATAGAAACGAAACTGAAGCTTAATAGGGTCAAGTGATGCACCAGTAGTCACACAGTATTTTCCTCCAACAGCAGTGTCTTTCCTTATACAGTATACACACTGCCAGCATTATGTTAAACGAGGTTGAGAGCAGGCCCTTGTTTAATGCTATGCGATATGTATAATTCTGAGTCTGAATCAGAAGATTAAGAGTTAAGCATTAGAGCTCCTGACTCCAGATTATTCCAGTGGCCTGTGTATTTCTCCAGCTTTTCACAACAAACCATTCTGTTTCCGAACTATTCTTTTATCTGGCAGGAGAGGCTACAAATGGTCTTGATCAGGTTGGACTTTTCTCAGAGTTGAATATACTGCTGGAGGACTAGCCAGCCCAGAAGTTGGAAAGGTTGAAAGTTTGTGAGTACTTCTGATGATGCCAAGACTGTGTGTGGGTAAATCCAGTGAGAACCAATTAGAATTTTCTCTTCTGAGATTAGCTCTTGGACCATCTTCTGCTGCTTTCCCAGCACACTAGCAGGGAGCTGGACCGCAAGTAGAGCATCCAGGACTTGAACCCGGCACCCCATTGGGATGCCAGCACTGCAGGCAGTGGTTTAACGTGCTATCATACAGCACTGGTCCCTGTTCTGAGACGACGTAGCACTTGTGTGCCACCATCACCCCCAAAAATTGTGCCTTCACTCTAGATAGGAATAAGCCTTGCACTGAACCTAGTTCCTTTTAGATGTCATAATAACTGGCTGGAGGAATGGGTGATCATATATAGGCAAAATAGTATTTGTGATCATCTTCCCTTAGTTGTTTAATTGTCCTCTCTTTCTTTTCCTCACCCTTACCACTTTTATTGGTATCCCGATCTAACTGTTTTAGAAGGCCACCTGTGCCTTCCCTTCTGGGTCAGCTAACACTTCTACACAAATAAAGCAAACTGATTTGAAGGTTTTCTTGTTACATGCTTTAGGCATGGTGCTGCTTTGGTAACATATTCATTGTATCTGAAATTAAAATGTAGTGTAATTACATGTATCATTTGTACTAATGACATTTTAAAGATTTTCTTAATTATATGCAAATAAGTTCGTCTTTATTTTTGTAAAGGTCTTGATATATTCTGGTACTTTTGAAGTATTAATACAAATGTTAATATATATGGGATTGTCTTCCTCTAAATTTTAACAGAACTGAAAATGTTCTAAGCTAAGTTGTTGATTCAATAACTTTTCCTTGCATACACTTAAAAGTACAGACCTAAGTTCAATGAAGTCCAGAAACATAGTGTATGATAGCTTCATTTCATGTTTGTGTGTGTTTTGAAACATAAAATTTAGTAATGGGAAGAATGAACATTAGATTTCGTTCTCTAAATTTCGAAGTTAAATTTACTGTGGTTTTGCAGTATGATTTCTGCCATTCTGTAAGTTGAAAAGAGGGGTATGATTCATATAAATTGATAAACATTCTGCTTCCAGGCTTTGTGTTGAACTGCTTTATACAATTCAGACTATTTTGGTTTCTTCCCTCAGGAAAAGAACTAAAACTGTAGCCTTGAATTGTGGGAACCTCTAAAGGATGCTGATTTTCTGAGAGGATAATTGGAATTTTGTTTTGATTCCTGAGTTACATATGCACATGTACTCTCAGAATGATTATAGCCTCTGCCATACTGACAGGTATTAGGAACAACTAATGAGGATCAAGGAGGTTCTGAAGTGCCTCTTAGAGGGTAATAGTCCTTCAGGTTTGACAGGTCCCTTCTCTGTAGGGGGCTAACAACCTGCTGTCCTGATGAATAGTAGAAATAGAAGTACACTAAGTACTCATTCAACTGCATTAGAGGTTAAATAGGCTGACTTTTTTCTGAGTTATTCTATAAGAAATTGTACCTAGAAGTTCAAAACATTAAATCTGGAAATGTGTCCTTAGCACTTAATCTGGTTGTCAAGTTAAATACTGCCTATTGAAATGCTGTATTTCAGACTTCTTAAGAAAAATGAAAGTTCATGGTCAATAAAATTTATTATAATATGGGATAGACTTAATAAAATATATATTCTTTAAAGATTTATTTATTTTATTTGAAAGGCAGAGTTACAGAGAGGCAGAGAGAGAGAGGTCTTCCATCTGTTGGTTCACTCCCCAAATGGCCCACAACACTGCCGCAATCCGAAAGCCAGGAGCTTCCTCCGGGTCTCCCACACGAGTACAGGGGCCCAAGCACGTGGGCCATCTTCCACTGTTTTCCCAGACTATAGCAGAAAGCTGGATCTGAAGTAGAGCAGTTGGGACTTGAACTGGTGCTCAGATGGGATGCTGGCACTGCAAGCAGTAGCTTTACCCACTAGGCCACAGCGCTGGCCCCCCAAAATATATTCTTAAATAGTATCCATAAGCATATTGTAATCTTCTTTGTACTTTTCTGAACTGTGTAAGTATTTTACATACACTTTTCTTAGAGGAAATGCAAAATTGAGGGCAATCCTTTTTTAAAAGAATGAACTTTGTAGCAGATGAGAGATTTTGTTTAAGGTTAATTTTCTCGTGAAATTTTTTGGTTTGCAACCCTGTCATATGTAAATTGATATTTCATAACTTTGCCAACTTATAAACCCTCTTAGTAGCACAAGATGCATTAATAGTTACCAGATTTGGTTTAGGGCCAAGCATGTGGCACAGCGGTTAAGTCCCTGCTTGGGACACCCAAATCCCATAACAGGGTGCTTGGTTTGAGTCCTGGCTACTCCGCTTCTCATCCAGCTTCCTGCTATTATGCACACAGGGAGGCAGCACGATGATGATGACTCAGGTTCTTTGGTCGCTGCCACCCACTGGAGACTGAAGTTGAATTCCGGGCTTCTGGCTTTGGCCTGACCCAACCCTGGCTGTTGTGGGCATTTGGGGACTGAATAAGCAAATAACTTGCAGTTAACAGATCCTGATAAAGCTAGTAAGACATGAAATAAGCAACTGAATAAGATGAAAATAAGTATTTTTTTTTTAATTTGGTTTGGCATACACAGTGAAAGTCTTAAATTTGTGTTGTTTCTTTAATATTAGTGTACCACGACATAATAACAAAGTCATTTTAAAAAACATTATAAAATAGCTTAAAAATTGGGCATTTCAGATTACCATCCAAAATAATAGGAAATTGCCTCCAAATATTTTCCCCATCATAGTGTAATAAATACACGAGAGACTATTTCACTTTTGAAAGCTTAATTCATTGTGATTTCTTACAGAATAAACACCTTAAAATATAATGAAACTCTGACCAGTCTAATACTGCCCGAGGCAGTTGCCTGCAGAAAAGGAAGTGGAACTGTGTGCTCCCAACAGAGCCCTTACTTTAAGACTTAAAGTGGTTCTCAAGAGGATAGCTTTAAGGTCATTGAGAAAGGAACTTAACTTCCTAAGAAGGCCACTATTAGAGGGATTAGGGCTCTCTCTAGTTCCTAGGTGCATTTTTAGGATTATTGATAGATGGAGGATAGGTTGCAAAACTAAAATAAAATAAAATTAACAAAATGCTATTTTTCCTGGCTATTAAATGAAGCTGTTGAGCAATCTTTAGTGAAATGATTAAACTGTTTCCATTTTTAATGTACTACTTTTTCTGAGACAGCCTTGTAAGAGTTTGCCTAATTTGACCAATTTAGAAAATCTGGGATTTTTTTT